ATTTTATTTATTTTTATTTTATTTATTTTATCTTATTTTATTTTATTTTGTTTTTATTTATATTTTATTTTATTTTTATTATGTTTTATTACTTTTTATTTTTTTGAGACAGAGTCCCGCTCTGTCGCCCAGGCTAGAGTGCCGTGGCGTCAGCCTCGCTCACAGCAGCCTCCACCTCCTGGCCTTGAGCGATCCTCCTGCCTCGGCCTCCCTCCCGAGTAGCTGGGACGACAGGCGTGCGCCTCCACGCCCGGCTCGTTGTTTTCTATGTATATTTTTTAGTTGGCCAGTTAATTTCTATTTTTTTAGTAGAAACAGGGTCTTCCTCTTGGACTCAAGCTGGCCTCAAACTCCCGACCTTGAGCGATCCTCTTGCCTCGGCCTCCCTCCCTCGCAGCTGGGACTCCAGGCGTGCGCCTCCACGCCCGGCTCATTCTTTCTCTCTCTATTTTTACTCGGCCAATTAATTTCTATGTTTTTTAGTAGAGACAGAGGTCTCGCTTTTGCCCAGGCTGGCCTCCCACTCCCGACCTCGAGCGATCCTCCCTCCTCGGCCTCCCTCCGTGGTAGCTGGGACGCCAGGCGCGAGCCTCCTCGCTCTGAGATTCCGCCTTCACCGTGCCTTCTCGGTGACACGCGTGTTTCCCCGTGTCCCTGTCCCCCCCGCGCGACAGTCTGGCCACGGGGGCCCCGGCAGAGGCTGCCCCAGGCAGTAGAGGCCGGGAGTAGAGGCCAGGAGCTGCCTCTGGCGGAAACTGAGGCCAGGGAGCCTCCTCTGACGGCCTCCCTGTTTGTCACCCAGTTGTGGGGACACTGTGGGGACACCTGCCGCTGCCATGAAGATCGCGGTCATCGGGCAGAGCCTGTTCGGCCAGGAGGTGTACCTCCAGCTGAGGAAGGACGGCCACCAAGTCGTGGGTGTCTTCACCATCCCGGACAAGGACGGGAAGGCCGACCCCCTGGGTGAGTCACGCAGAGGGGTGGCCCTGGGGGACCCCGGAATATTGGGGGGTCCCCCCCTGCACACACCCAGCCTTACCTACCCCACATCCCGCCCCTGGGGCTGCTGGAACGTTCTGGAAGCCGCACTCAGATGTCCCCTCAATGGGACCCCAGGGTCCCCGTCTGAGCCTCTGTGACCCCAAGACTCAAGAAGGGGAGCCCAGGGCGGGGGTGCTCCGGGGGTCAGGGAGGTCAAAGGTGGCCCGGGGTCGGAGGAGGGGACCTGCTGAAGCTCAGAGTGCCGGGAGGCCGGGGTAGAGGCTGGCGCCTGGGAGGGCGGCAGTCGGGGAGGCCCAGGGGGGAGGATTGCTGGAGGTTGGGAGGGAGAGGCCGGACTGGGGAAGAGCGAGGCCCGGTCGCTACTAACAAAGATAGAAAGAAATGAGCCGGGCCACCAAGAATATATGGGGAGAACGAGCCGGGCGTGGTGGCGCGTGCCTGCGGTCCCCTGTCCCTTCTCTCCTGGCCCGTCCCTGTTTCCTGTCTCCTGTCCCTGTTTCCTATTTCCTGTTTCCTATTTCCTGTCTCCTGTCCCTGTTTCCTATTTCCTGTCCCTGTTTCCTGTCTCCTGTCCCTGTTTCCTATTTCCTGTCCCTGTTTCCTGTCTCCTGTCCCTGTTTCCTATTTCCTGTCCCTGTTTCCT